CTTAGGGGATGGAGTTGGGGAATTCTGAGGAGGCTGGGGGCTTTCTGGTGGTGCTGAGAAGGGTGTTGCAGGTTTGGGTGAGGGTGCAATGTGAATGGAGGGTGATTTGGGGGGAGATGTAGGAATATGAATAGAGGGAGAGTTTGGGATTACCTCTAAGACAGTTTCTTCAAATTGGGAGTCTCTCCATTCTCTGATGAGGTTCTCCATTGCTAGAGCTAGATCATTAGCAGTAGAGGGTTCTCCATCAACATCAGAAATGGGTTTCAGCTTTATCAAGGATTCCTGACGCTTTTTCTCCCTCAGCCAAGCATCAAAGGCTTCCCTTTCATGATCCTCCAGAGCTTTAACATGCTTCTCTGGTGAGGTAGAGAGCAGAGGTGTCTTGCCCTTGAGGTCTGCCTTCTTCTGGATAAAAATATCTTCGAGGAAATGGAGATCAAAGCACTTGGACACATCTTCCGTGCCCGCCCATTTGAGGACCTCAGCTTCTTCAGACTCAAAGAGATGGAATTCTTCAATGATCTTTTGGAGAGGCCCCATTCTCCATCTTCTCCAAGTAAGGACCCTTGCATACTGTCTGTCCAGAGCAGCATGGAAATCTGTAACATGATCCTTGATAGAAGTTGCTTGATGATCTGGTGATGGAGTCATCAGAGGCATGTCTGGAACAGGAGAGGGCTGGGGTTCTGATGCAGATTCCCCCTGAATTTCTGATTCCTTCTCCTGTCCTGGTTCCCCCTGAGGTTCTGGACTCTTAGGAGGGGTGTTCTCCTCCTCCTTCTTCTTCTTTTCTCTAATTTGAGACTTAGAGCTATCAGAATCACTCTGAATGATTGCTCTTCTCCTTCTCTTTTGCCTTGGCTTTCTTACAAGGGTGATTTGGACAGCCACATCTGATGCAGTATTTTCTGATGCATCCTCCTCTGATGCAACTTTCTCTGGCGTGGCCTCCTTCTGCTTCTGAGGCTTCTTCGTCTTTGATTTCTCAGCCTTTTTCACTTTAGGCTGATCTGAGAAAATAGCATTGTATGGATAATATGAGCTTTAAGTATTTGGCAATTCATACAAAAACAAGTAGTACATACAAAAAGAAACGGTCTGCACTTTACTAGTTTCTGTGATGATGATGATGATGATGATGATATATCTGAGAAACCATACCACTGGTACATACCCAAAAACAGTGAAATATTGCACTGTATATGGTTTCTGACTTTCTGGGAAAATGTCATATCTTAGAAACAATACAAAACGATGTAATGTGCACCTTGTTTCTATGAAGAAGATATGTCTGAGAAACCATACACAAGGAATACGACAAAAACATTGTGTAATGTTGTATGATTTCTTTGATATATCTGACAAACCATATCACAAAGGATGTCAGATGTGTGAGCCTATAACATCATTAAGATGCGTCACACATTCTGATATCAAATCGTCTGCGACACATACATTGCTTGGCAAAAGTCCAATTCGCTCTAATTTATGTTTTCCAATGTGAGGGTTTTTATATTTGTTGCCTCCTTTTGCCTTCATTATCTCCACCATAACTAGTTGCAACTGTAACCAAGTGTATTTGATGTTGTGTGGCAATCATTCCAAAATGCTTCTTGAACTGCCTTAATCAATTCCGCAGTTGTATTTGTTTTTTTATGTTGAATGGATCGAATGGCCCTAAAAACCCGAGATCTAAGATGTTAAGATCCGGGGAGTTTGGGGGCTGACATACCAACTGTATGTCAAATCCATCATTATTAGCCCTTTCCATAAAACTTGCATCATTGATAGAAATATGAGGCCTTGTGTTGTCTTGTTGAATCCAAATTGTTTTGCTTGCACATGTTGGCCAATTTGCTTTGATACATGTAATTAATTGAGTCACAAAAACATGTCTCATAACATCCTTTGTTATTGATGATAGTGCCCTAACTGCTAAAGTTCCTGCATTTCTATTTTTGTTATTTCTCTTTGCTTCCACTATCTATATGAGGGGGAAATGCATATCTTTCATCTCATTCCACTGAACCATCATGATTAATCCAAGGTCTCGCAAGGGCAGCCAAAAGCATTACCTTATTGATGAACCTTTTACTCTGACATGTCCGGTAAGGTTCATCCTCTGAAGGTAAAATGTAATACCTTTGACTAGCTTTGGTCATAAAAAAACACTTCTCATCCACGTGTACAACACTGAACATGTTTGAAAATTGTGGGGGCTCCAATACAGTTTTTGGAATAACACGTGCCAATGACGATTTCATTCTTTCTAACATGTTGTTTTGTGTTAGTGAAGGCTCTATTGCATTTGTGTGTGACATTAGTGTTCGTGTATGAAGTAGTCGTTGAACTACTGATGTACTTACCTCTAAAGCTACTGCTAGGCTTCTTATAATTGATCTTTTTGCCTTGGGAATGTCAGATATTTTGTTTGGGTCGATGATGAGACCTTTTCTCCCGCTCCTTGGATATTTGGTGTCTACATTTGTTTCGAGCCCTCCTTGTACTTGCTTCTTCACATGTTTCTAGATTAGGGAAATTGATGCTCTTTTCACTTTGTTTGTTGTTGCAAGTTCATTGATTACTCCACGTGGTAACTTCAATGCTGTCGTCGTCAACAATAAATACTGTGTTATCTCTTTTTCTCTGAATTTGTAAGTTGTTTTGCCGTGATGCTTGTATTGCTTGTTGTGGTGGCAATTTTTAGAACCTGTGATGCCTGTGTTGTCTTCCACGATGGTGTTTTCAGAAACTATGAATGTGTTCCTTCCTCTACAATTTCAGGACTGTCACCCAAGATTCCTTGCTCAATTAGGAGGAGCTCCTCGAGAGAAATGTCGTAATTTGTTGCTAAAAAGGCTTCCATTTTTCAGATCTTTGCTATCTACACTTTTTTAAAATCTTTCCGTGTTTCTGAAAAATGTACTCCGTAGAGGTATTTGTATCAAGTTAGGGAAGTTTCTATTTATAGAAGCGTTTCTTTCTATAGCATTGTACTTGGTGGACTGAAAAAGTAGTGATTGTTTTAGAAATTTCCCTTTTTTGAGGTGGCGGCAAAAGTAAAAGGGCCATGGTTTGTGGCGTAATGTAAACTAGTATTATACCCGTGCGATGCACGGGACATATGTTTTTTTGCATTTGTAACATGTTGTTTTAGAATTAAAATGTTAACGTGAATTATATTTATTTTTAAGGGAAATTTCAACATATACATGCTAAAACAACATTTATCACAGAGTATATAGATTTCATTATATTAGTTTTTCTTATTTGTATTTCTTATTGTTGACGTTAAGTAATTTGTGACATCTGGGGAGGATCTACCTTATTGAGAGTGAATGCCCCCAATAAGAGCATCTCCAATACTCAAATGTGCACGGTGCACATGTGGCATGAGTAATAGCCACATAAATATTAGCAAATAAATTACCTCTCTCTTTGTTTGAATGATTTTATATAATTTTGGTACGTTTTTCCCCGCAATGTCAACATTTAGACGGTATCCTTGACATTGTAGAGAAAAACTTACTAAAATTGTATAAAGTCTTTCAAATAAGGAGAGAAAGAATTTATTTACTAATATTTATGTGGCTATCTCTCATGCCACGTGTGCACCTGCACATTACAACATTGGAGATGCTCTAAGCTTTTGATAATAGGAACATGAACTTGAACTTGTAACCCAAGTGGGAGTGTTAAGGTGATGAGACGTTGGGCTTGCTAAATGGGCTGGGTCAAGGGAAGTGAAAAATTGCGCGCCCAATCCAAGCTAATAGGTACCAATGGGATTTCTTCGAAAGCTGAGATCTCCTGGTTATTAAATCGGAGGGGAAAGCGTGAGGCTGGCTTCACAGGAACAATAACTTAATAATATAGAATTTTTTGCATATTTATTTTTAAAAAGAAAGAGTTTTCCTTCATTAATTTTTTCACTACTATGTCCTAATAATAATAGATATTTGTGAGCAGTAATATCATGCATATATGCATGACCACAAATGTGTTTATTTATCTTAAATGCTTTAATAGTAGTATTTTTCAATCATGACAGTGATAACTCCTATTTCGGGAAGAAAGACACAGTACTCCTATTTTGGAATTACCAAAGTCGTTTACTCCTATTTAGAGCAATTTTCCATGTTATAAATGTATTACTTTTAATGTTTGATGATTAAATGGGCACTTAAACAACATATGAATAATGTGAGAATAATAGGATGGGACGAAGGAAGTATGATACTGTTGTTCACATAATAGTTTTTAAGTGATGTAAAAATAATGAATGAATGAATGAATGATAGTAGCTATCTATTTATAAATGGTTAGAAGTTGAATAGGGTTTGTATATGTGAAGTTGGGAAAGTTGAATAGATTTCTTCTACCCTTTTAAATAAATACATATAAATGTTGTAAATATACACATTGCTTGCCATGTACGTGTACGTATAATGTATTTTTGTGAACTTTAGATAAATGCTATATATGAATAGGGAGTAGTATTTATCATAATGTTGATACATGTCAGATTTTCCAATAAAGAGTGTTGCCACATGTCAACAATTTCTTCAAATACTTCTCTAAGGGTTTGCTTTATTATACTACGTATTATATACTCCGTATATAGATATAGATATAGATATAGATATAGATATAGATATAGATATAGATATAGATATAGATATAGATATAGATATAGATATAGATATAGATATAGATATAGATATAGATATAGATATAGATATAGATATAGATATAGATATAGATATAGATATAGATATAGATATAGATATAGATATAGATATAGATATAGATATAGATATAGATATAGATTAACGAATGCAATCAATTTTTTCACTTGAAAACTAATCGGTCTACATCTAGGATATATAGATCAGAGTATATTTAGTTTAGGCAACTTAATGTTAGAAAAATATCTTGAAATTCAATGTAAGTCCCAGTAGATCAGAAGTAATAAAAGTGTGATAAAAACTACGTACCTCAACCGCATGTATATGATTGCACCGGCTTCCACCTTGCCCTTTTGACTCTTGAAGCATGTGATTAATTATCTCCCATTTTGTTACAAAACACCTTTGATCGTTGTATCTGAGACTGCAAAAGATGCCCAAAAAGGCAACTTAATTAAACTCAAACGTGAAGATGTGAAGACGTGGTGCATGATTTATTCAAATTTTACTTGTAAATATTCTAGGATGAATTAATATTGAATAAAACAGAACTCACAAAAAGTGAAAAGTCTACTACCGTAAACCACAGAGAAAAGTTGAGGAACCGATGAAACATCACTTATCTGCTCGGTGCGTGGCATTTTATATTCGGTATATAGTACTCCATATTTCCACTTCCATTTTAAACACAGTTGTGCCTTTTTTTTGTAACCGACGTGATGATATGAAACAAACATCATATCACGTCATGTGCAAATAATGTCATGAGACGCGAACAATTGTATGGCTTACGGTTCCGTTATTCACTTGGTTTCCCTTTTTATATTAGTATAAATGAGAGAGATAATGAATTCTCTTTCCTCATGCACTCTCTTTCCTTTGACTTTCTTAATTACATTCTCTCACCTACCTTATCATTTATCTTCTCTTTCTTACATTATCACTTTACTCCACCCTTACTATTTCTTCTTAAACTATGTGCCCAAACCTAATGCATGGAACACATTAATACAGAGGAAGTATCAAATAATAAATAATATCAACACCCCCTCGAGATGGAGCATGGGGATCAAGAGTGCCCATCTTAGTAAGAAGATAGGAAAATTGATGCACGTCGTGTGCCTTGGTATATATATATATCATCATGTTGCTCTGAGGTGGATTTGTGGAAAGGAGTGAGTGTTCCCGCTTGAATATGATCCCGAATAAAGTGGCAGTCCAATTCAATATGTTTAGTTCGCTCACGAAACACAGGGTTAGAGGCGCAATGTGAATGGCAACATTATTGTCACAATAAAACAGCCGAGATGATCGAAGTGTGAGTAACACCGAGAGAGAGCAAAAGATTTTTTTAGCCAAATTAATTCACATGCAAGGGTAGCCATGGAGCGATATTCTGCTTCGGAGGACGAACGAGAAACTGTGACTTTAACACCCTCATCACGACCAGACAATCCGTCTGAATCGTGTCGTCATTCATTTTTTTCATCGGTTCGCCATTGTCATTTTTTTAAATCGTGACGTCATTTTTCGTACGGGGTCCACACCATGATTATGGATCGATTTGGCTCTGATATCATGTTAGGGCCAATGATCACATACGCAAGAGAGAAAGTAAAGTGTTGTTTTATTGAATTAATTTCGGTATTGTACACTTAGGAATCCTCCTCTATTTATGTACAACAGTAGCAGGTCATTCGTTGTACGTTGCCCCATGCTTAGAATCTACGTAGCATGCACTTCGTATTTAGGAAGAGATAACTATCAACAATACTCTCCCGCATGCCACTATGTACGTACGTATAATAATATGTTACAATAATAAAATGTAACAATAATAAATAATATCAAATAATAAATAATATTAACATTTCCAACCACCATTGTCACATGAAAGTCCACCGGAAAAGTGATATTAGCGAAATCATTTTTAAAAAGTAATTCAAAAAGATCCATAAAATTCATAGGCGAAGGTGGTTTAGAGGTCATCTTGACGAGGCACATCTTCTGATATTTTTCTTTTAATTTTTCGGGTACTTTTGAAAATCAGAGTTACTAACTGTCTTTCTCAGACGTTTTTAATGGTGTGACCCTCTTATGATAACGGAATTCAAACACATGAACTACTTTGATAACAAATGAAACACATGACCCTATATGAAAACAGGTTCAAGCACAAGTGTCTTTTCCGTACTTTTCCCTTCATATAAATGGTGTATATTACATTCTTTTTATTTTATTGCTAAAATAATTTTTTCCCTTTTCTGGGCAATGAATTCTTTTAAAAAGTAAGAAGCCAATTGTATAATTCAATGTCACTCAAACATTTATAGTTTGGACTCAATTCACATTATCTAAAATTTATTTAACTAGTGTATATAGAATTTAATATCAAAAAAAATTGGGCACTAATTACCTAATAAAGATAAATTAAATATTACAAAACTAAGATTTTTTGTATAATAATTGCCGTACGCCTTAAATCGATGAGTTGTTCTATTGTTTATTTATCCAAATAATGACAAATTATTTTAATAGTTTTCCGTTTTAAATCTCCTATTAAGCACTATATTAATAAAATAAAGAAAAATTATATGAGAAAATACAGCGCACGAATAAACTATACAAGTATGAAAAAACTCCTAAAATGGTCATCTACATTAACTTCAGTCAATACAGCCAAAAACATAACTTCAACCTTACATTTTCTTATTATTATTACACAATTTAGTGCACGATTCAAAAGTCACGTGTTTGGTTAAAAAATTGGTTGATAAGCCCGATAAGCCGAAAACAGAGTCACCAAACAGGTTCGTACTATCTTAGTCTGCACATGAAGAGGCGGTGTGGTATGGTTATAAAGAAAAATGAATTTATGTAGTTAATAATGAATTGATAAAGAAAGATTTAGAGGCACTTAAATTTTATCCAACTTGGTATGTAACAGTTTTAATATGACGAGTTGAAAAGATACGCCAAAGATAAGACAATCTTAATGGAACGAATTGGGAAAAAAAGATAATAATTATACAAGAGGGCCGGGGTTTTGGTATTTCTATTTGATTTAGATGGAGAACTCGTTTGGTAGCACGAAAATCGGCTGTTTTGGCAGATTCTGCTGAAATTTATGAAATTGTGACTGAAGTGGCTGCATTGGCTGATTCATCTGATTTGAGAAAAATTGTTTTTAAATTAAATTTTAGAGATTATTACCTGCATAGGACTAAATAAATCATTAATTGCTAGAATAGGAGTAATATTTAATATTTTCCCAAATAGGAGCTATTTTTAAAGTTGGGACATAAATACCCTGCAACTAGTCAAAACAAGACTCAGACCTCTGCCGGTCGCCAGTCTCCAGTCGTCGGTTGCCGGTCACCAGTCGCCGGTCGCCGGAGAATTGACCACCGCTGCACATTTGGTTGCCGCCGGTTCAGATCTGGCCATCGCCGCCGTAGATCTGCCCACCACCGCCGTAGATCTGACCGTTTCCGCAGATCCAAATGCCGCCTATGCGGATCCGGCCCCCACAAGTGCAGTTCTCGTAGTTGCCCTCACTGATGCCAACAGTATTATACGAATGCCAACCTGAATACAAACTGCCATGTTAATGACATTTTCAAAAGAAAAAAGGCAATTTGAAAGATAAAATGCCAACTTAATGGCATTTTTGAAGAGTTAAAATGCCATTTTAATGACATTTTTTAAATAATATTTGGCATTTCTTTAAAAATCAAACCAAATGAAAAGGGGGAAGAGAGAAACGGAATAGAGAGGAGATATTGAGGAAGATGAAGAAGAAGCAAGAGACAGGGAAAACAACATGCCTTAATTCCAAATAGATCTGAACCTAAACTCCTCCGCCGCTTGCCGCTTGCTGCCACTCGTCACCACACCTTCGCCGATCTCCATCGCTCGCAGTTGCTCGCCGCCGCGGACTGTTGCTTGCCTCTGTTCGTCACAATGAAGGGTGCTGCGCAGAGTTGCGCAGGTAAGTGAGGTACGAGTAGAAACAAGGTGGTAGGTGTGAGTTGAAACAAGGAAGGGTGCTGCACGGTAGAATTAAATGGAATAGAAGGGTAAATTGGTACAATAGTCCTATTTAGGGAATAGAAATATACTTACTCCCATTTGAGAATTTAAACAATAATTTAGTCCTATTTAGGGCAAAAAACTCTAAATTTTATTAATAAAATAAAGAAAAAACTGTATGTAAAAATAGCTAAAATGGTCATCTACAGTAACTTCATCCAATACAGCCAGAAAAGTAACTTCAACCTTACTTTTTCTGCTTATTACACAATTCAGCGTACGAAACTAAAAGATACGCGTTTGATGGAAAAGTTGACTAATAAGCTTGATAAGTCAAAAAACAGTGTTGTCAAATGGCCTCCGAGTCCGCAAGAAAGTAAAGTACGTTGGTGGGAATAGTTGGATGCATGCGGCCGGCGGCATGTATTAATTTGAATCATTTTGTGTCTCCGTATTAATTAATTAATTTCTTGAAAAGTGTGTTTTATACTTTTGCATTGAGATGAAGAGGAGGATGCGCGCGAGTACAGCAGGAAAAGTCCAATCGCTCATTTAGCTTCCGTCAATCAATATACAGTATTTTATATACTGTATTAATTATACGCACAGAAGATCGAAAACGTACCTACCTACTCGATCTTATGCCCGCAATACAGTAAATAGAAGCCGCATCCCCAATAATCTAATCGGTAATCATGGCCTTCAAAGTAGGGATAGGATATGCTTCTTTTCTCTGCTCATTGTCTAGCCTCTTTCCACTTTAAGAGCCCGTTTGGAGAACTCTGTTTTCGGTTTATCTGGCTTATCAGCCAGCTTTTTCACCAAACACGTAACTTTTACTTTCGCGCGCTGAATTGTGTAATAAGCCGAAAAAGTAAGGTTGGAGTTACTTTTCTGGCTGTATTGGCTGAAATTACTGTAGAGGACCATTTTAGCTATTTTTACATATAATTTTTTCTTTAATTTATTAATAAAATATATTTTAAAAATATTTTTTTCTTAAATCAGCAGAATCAGCCAAAACAGGCACTCCAGCCAAAATATCATAAATTTCAGCAGAATCAGCCAAAACAGCCGATTTTGGTGCTACCAAACGGGCTCTAAATGTTTTTCTTTTACATTTGACACACATATAAATACATGTTCCTGCCTTCATTTTAGCAAAATTAGTGGATCAAAATCTTTTTAAATTTTAATACTGTTTTGTTTTGTGTTGGGTTACAAGCAAAGTTGGATCCATTTATACGTGCACAATATTTAAACCAATCACAATCTAAATTTACACCCTGAGAAGAATTAGGGAGTGTTTTCCTTTGCTTAAAAAAGTGCTTTGGAGCTTTTAGATTAAAAAAGTCAACAAAGGTGTTTGGTAATCCTAACTTTTGCTTAAAAAAAGTGTTTTAAAGTCAAAATCTAAAAGCTAGAGAATACCAACTTCTAATAGCTTCTAGGTAAACTTGTAATTACCTCCAACTTTATGACTAATAATAATGGCAAAAAAATCCCCTAACCCCCCCAACTATGTCCAAAAGTTTAAAGGGTGATTTTGTACTTTTTGAAAAAATTATTCCATCATAATCACTTTTTTATCAAACACTCCAACTTTTACATTTTAATTAAAATCACTTCTATTCCCAAACACTACCAACTTTTATTACAAATCATTTTTCCAATAATCTATTAAAAAATCACTTTTAAAAAGCACAAGCAATCGCAAACACTCCCTTATTTCGATTCTATAATTGAAGTGATCTAAGAATAGTATCAATACATTAAAGTGTAAGAAATGTCAAATCAAAGAAAAATTGTTTAGTAATTAAAAGAAATAAAAAGGAATAGTTTTTATCAAAATATTTGAAGACAAAGAATTTAATAGGTACACACCCACCAAAACTTTTTTAAAAATGTGTGTCATGTTTAACCGCGTCAATCCTATCACAATAAAGGATTAATTTTTGCATTACATTTTTGTCTACCAATTATGTTCGTAAGTCACGAGATTTTTTTTAATATTACTTCATCCGTCTCATTTTACATGTTTTATTTTTCTTTTTGAGTTGTCCCAAAATAAGTGACACATTTCCTTTTTGAAAAGAAATATGTAGTATGTGTTTCACAATATTTCATTTTGTTATACTTAAATCTCAATCACACAACTTTTATCTTTTCAACCACTTTATTAAAAATTGTGTCAAACCAAATGAGATACATAAAATGGGACGGAAGTAGTACAAACTACAAAGTATGTATGATATTATTTGGGGGATTTCAACAAATAAGACCTAATTATACTAATTTTCCAAAATTAAGACCATAGATTAGCATAAGACCTAACTACACCTGCTTTGACCAAATTGCCCCCTTTGTTTTAAATCCCCCCTGCGCATCAAACTGCCCCTGCGCATCAAAGGGATCTCCGCATCAAATGTCCCTTGCCTATCGATACTTCTCTCCTTTCCCCTTCTCGCTTTGGATCGATCGACGCCGATGGGGTTCGGTGACGGCGGTGGCTAGAGCTCGACGATGGCGATGGTGGCTAGGTTTTTGCGATGCAGCAGCGCGGCTAAGGTAATTGACAGCTGAAGGCTCTTCTTCATCCTCCTCGTCTGCTTCTTCTTCTTCTTCCTCTTCCTCTTCCGATCTTTTCCTCCTCATCCTACATCATCCTCGTTCGTCCTCTTTTATCTTCTTTCAATTTTTTTTTTGTTTTCCATCTAAGATCTAAAATCATAGATCCAAAAATGCAAGGATTGGATCTGATTTTAAGATCCAGAAACATAGATCCAAAATGCAAGGCTGTGGCATGTGTTTAAAATATGAAAAGATAGATCCAAACATGAATTTCAATAATTGGATTTGGAAATTTTTTAATCAAACATTTTAAACGTTTGAAGAAACGTTTACAACGCCACAGGTATTCTGCAAAACGTTTGAAGAAACCAGATCCAAAATCAAACTTGCAAACACTAGACAATACAGACATTAAGTGGTCAGTAAACAGACAATAAGTTCTAATAATAGTTCAATATCAGGCAATACATAGACACTAAGTAGTCATTAAACAGACAATAAATTTTGATAATAGCTCAATAGCAGAGCAGGTCACGTAAAAGAAGGGTAAAACTGGAAGTTTAAAATCCAGTTTTCAAAAATAGAACCACAGGGCTCTTACGCAAAGAAAAAACGTATGTAAGTACTATTTTTATAAAAATGCTATGATTAAGTCTTACATGGAGCAATTTTCTCGATATTATTTGTTTTTAAAATATTGTTATGTTGCTAATTCATATAGATGGTGTATATTACTCCGTACATTCCTTTTATTTTATTGCTAAAATAGCTTAAAATAAATTCTTTTAAAAAGTAAGAAGCCAATTGTACTCGTGTAATTTAGAGGCCGTTTGGTAACATCTTTTTTTGGCTTATCAGGCTTATCAGCTAACTTTTTCACCAAGCACGTAATTTTTACTTTCGCGCGCTGAATTGTGTAATAAGCAGAAAAAAGTAAGGTTAGAGTTACTGTTGGGATATTCGGTCCAGGCCCAATATCCCTAGGCCCCAATCCAGGAAGAAGCAGCGGGCCCAAGGCAGTCCAAAAGAACTCTCGAACGGCATTCGGGATAAAACTTATACTTGGAACATTCCGGGAAACAATTATGCCAAAGCATCAAGGCCAGGTATCGATCGGCGTTCGGGATACTTCCATTAACTAGATCACCTATGGCTGGGATACCGATCGGCGTTCGGGATATGTTCATAAGCAGGATAGCACCTAGGGCGGAGTCCCATACACCGAACACCCTTCCCGAGCGGGCAATCAGCAAGTGGAGGCCGCATTTAATGCTGGATCATGACGGCAGGAAGTGGGGGCATGGGTGCATACATGGCAGAAGTGACAGCCTATCGGATTCGACCACGTGTCCACCTCATCCATCCCTATTTTTAGTATAAATACCCATGTTTAGATCATTGTAAAGGGTTAGCATTTTAAGACTCAGAGCTTAGCAATAGATTTACATCTCCCATCCTTGTAATCTCATATTCATCTACCGTTCGGGTAGTTTCAGTGTAATTGCTTAATTACAGAATATAAGTAAGTTCTTGAGTTGGATATTATTTCACTATTTTATATTTTATACACATTTCAACCCTACCCCAGATCCCTACAATATCCAAGGCTTGTGTTGGGCTTTCAGATCTTCGGGAATAAACCTCAACATTTCCATTTGGAACACAACGCCATTCCTCCCCCTACTGACACAAGGCTCGTGATGGGACCTACCCCAAGCTCCTACTGCAGATACCACCAGCGGAATGGGCACCTCACGAAGGATTGCCACGCCCTACATGTGGCAATTGAGGACCTGATCCAAAAGGGCTACCTGAGGAAGTATGTCAGCACCAACCTGAACAGCCCTTCCCCCAACCAGCGCCCTCCCCGATCCAATAGCTGGAAGCGGGATGCCCAGCGGGATGCAGAACCCAGTAATGATTCATACCTTCCCCCTATAGAGGAGGCTGAGGGGTCTGGGAATCCGGGAAAAAAGCCACGATTGGAGGTAAAAGTCATCTTTGGTGGAGGGGAGACCGGTGATACGGCCGCCGAACGTAAGAAATTTGAGCGCAGCCTCTATGTCGCCACTGTAGCTGCACCTCCCACAAAGAAGGGCCGCTTGGAGCCAGTTACGTTCGGGGTGGCTGATCTACCCAACTCACCAAGTCCGCACAGGGACGAGCTAGTGGTGAGCATGTGTATAGACAACGCCTTGATCCACCGAGTTCTGGTGGACACGGGAAGCAGTGTGAACGTGCTGTATTTACGCACGTTGGAGAAGATGAAGCTGAAGAAGGACCAGCTGACCAAGCTGAAGACACCGCTGGCTAGCTTCACCGGCAATGTAATAGAGGCAGAAGGCACCATCCAGCTTCTGGTAGAAATTGGCGATGAAATCCACCGAGCGGCAGTCCGAATGACGTTTGTGGTGGTGGATATTGCATGTGCCCACAACGCCATATTGGG